ATATACATACATATATACATATATATATACATATACATATACATATATACATACATATATACATATATACATATATACATACATATATATATACATATATACATATATATATACATATATACATATATATATACATATATACATATATACATACATATATACATATATACATACATATATATACACACACACACACACACACACACACACATACGTATATATAAATATATATATACACACACGTATATATATATATACACACACACATATACACACATACACATATATACATACATATATACACACACACACACACACACACACACACACACACACACATACATATATACACATACACACACACACGCACAGTACATAAAAATGCAACATATAAGTTGGACAGAAGTAACTTTCTACTTGATGATTCTCACCACTTGTCAGAGCAGAATGACAGGTGACACAGACGCGAGCCTCCTTCCTGTCCATGTACACGAGCCGGCACTTCAGGCTGCAGCACGTCGCACAGAAAACCTTAAAAAACACAAAGAAATAGATTTGTACCACATTCCTACAAAAAGGGTGAGCACACTGTGAGAAACATTTCTACAAATAATTTTTATCTAACTGGGAGAATAGATTTTTTTTAAAAAAGGTGAAGAAATTAAAATCAGTTTGGATGTACTGCGAGTGTGCTGCAAATGTACCATTTTATAGCTATTGATTTCCTGTACTCTGCCAGGGCTTCAATGAGCTGCAGCTGTGCACGGGGAACTTTTCATTTATTTCATTACACATCGTTATCCAGTCACATTCGGATCCTAACAGCACCATCATACACTGGTTTGTGGATCTACCAGCCTGGTGGCGGGTGCACAGAGGATCCCGCTGCGTCCGTTGTTTGCGGCCCCAGCGGTGGCGTCAGTATTACTGCAGTGCCAGCTCCTCCCTGCTCAAGTGTCAGAGAGTGTGTTTGCTTACCACCATGGGAAATTAAGTGGGGCTGTCGGGAGATATTCCAGTGCAGTGTCAGCGACCGCATCTTCACTTTAAGGCACTGTGCGCGCCCCCTCCCCGCTGCATGCGTGGGAGGCCATAACCCTAGAGAGCTACCTGCACACCCACTGAGTTCATCTGCAAGGGAACACCTAAAAAAAAGGAACTCATCTATCAAAGTGCGTCATTTGATTTACCTCCTTACCAATGCTCTTTAAATAATACTCCCCGTCTGTAGTATACCCATCATGCATTTTAAATGTTGAAATGAATTTCTCGTGTTTTTCTCCTTGCATGCATGATTTTTGTCTTTTGTAAAGAAGCACTTATTTGTCCCGTTTTGTTTGCAGTTGTCTCGTTTTATTTATGTACAGTTTATTTTAAGATTTACTGCAAAATGATGACTGTCGAACATTACAGGTTTGATGATTCCAGATAAGTGTGTGTGATAGATTAGACAATTAAGTTACCCAGAGAAGATTAATCAGTAAACATTTTACTTCTCAATGAATTTGCGATAGTCAAGCTTTGTTTTTTGTCACATTAAACGTTGGTCGGACAAAATAAGTGACTGGAGGACCTCATCTTGGCTTTTTATTTTACTGACATTTTATAGACCAAACAATGATGGAGAAAATAGTATGAAGATTAATGGATATTTAAGTTGCAGCCCCATTGTGTCCATGTCAACATGTTTTTGTCATAAGAAACCCAGGATGAAGGCATCAGCTAAAACTGTAGAATAGAAATGGACCTTAATCTTAATACAATAAATATATCATGGATGCCCTGCATTCTGGACTACTAACCTGTACAGACTACTGTAATGAGTAAGGATGTAGTCTCTGTTATTCTGAGGGACCCTTTCATCTGATGCTTTCGATATAAGATCATTTGTGTAAGTGTAGCTGCTCCTGAGTGTCAGCACATTGACTAATTATTATGAAATTATAAATGCACAACCCATAAATGACAACAAACAGAATTGGCCTAGAAATGCCCGGTTGCTGTAAACTTTGTTGGAAGTGTGCCACAGAGTTTTATTCTAGATGTTCAAATAAAAAGCACTCCACTGACCTTTCCGCAGGCCCTGCAGTGGTGCCTCCTCTTGGTGAAGGTGAACTTGACGTCACATTTCATACAGACGGCAGCCTGGGAGTCAGGCACCCACACAGGGGCCACCTCCCCCAGGGAGCTGACGGGTCTCCTGCACAGAGTGCCCTGTTGGCCTGCTTGGAGATCATTGTCTGGGCTCTCCGAGGGCATCGAGGGAGGGGAGTGGACAACGCCGTCGCCGTTCACCCCGACTGCGCTCTGATCAGTCCCGTTGGGTGTGGCTTCGGAGGGCGTGCTTCTCCGACACTGGTTCTCCTGGTTCTTGTTCCTGCTGACGGCGGACGGGCCGAGCTGATTTTGGACCTGGCCCGACAGCGGCTGTGGGATCTGGAGCTTTAGGCTGACCGGCTGCTTCGGTCGTGCCCCTCCATACGGAACACTGACCGGCTGCAGCCGGTTGTTGTGGAGTTTTGGCTGGATGCCACCGGACCCCACTGCTCCTCCATCGCTGCTCTCTTGCTTGCTTTCCTCCATTTCTTTCTCCTCAGTGGCAGAGTCCTCTTTGGAGGGGACGGGAGAGGGAGAAAAACCCTCTTCCTCCTCTTCCTCTGTCTCCTTAAATGTGGAATAGTTACTGCTCTCCTGCTCCAAACCATTGGGAAGGCTTGACACCTTGAGGAGTTGTTCCATCTGTCCCTCTGGACCACATCTCCTCTCAATCTCCTCCACTCCGACCCAGTCAGACGGAGATAAACCATTCACCTCCACCTCACAACCAACCTGAACATCTCTCCCCCTAATCGAGAGGCTTTCTACCATCTCCTCTTTTAAGTGTACAGTTTGTTTTTCCCTACAATTGTCCTGTAAAACAGCAGCGCTGGCCCCCTCTGTGACATCTTCCCCATTTGGTGTCGTTGGTTGCACATCTGGATGAATTTTCAGAGACAGAGTTTCATCTTCGTGTCCTAATGCCACCTCAAAGGTAAAGTGAGTGTGATTGACAGTGGAGGCTCCTCCTCCTCCTGCTGCTGCTGCTGCTGCTGCTGCTGCTACTGAGGCCGCTCTCGCCTCCTGGTCAGAAGCACCAGGCGGTTTGTCTGGAGGAGAATGTGTCTCCTTGCTGAGCCCATCCAGTTGTGGGCTTGCCGGGCAGCCATTCTCCACAGCAGTAGCGGCCGTCACAGGGGGCGGCGAGAGGTCGTCCGTGCCCACCAGTTTGCCGATGTTGGGCTGGATTAGGGGCGGGCTGTGGACGTCTGCCGGCCTCTCCTCCACCCAGGACGGAGGTTCGGTACCGGGGTGTCTTTTAGGGTTGCCCCCCGACAAAGAGTCGGGGAGAGTTTTGAACGGCAACGGACTCTCCTGCGGGCTGAGGTCTGCGTGGGCCAGGGCCGGGTTCAGAGAGAGCAGGTGGGCCGGCGGGGCCAGGATCTGGGTCCACTTCGCATCAGAGAGAATGGGGTTGTCAGTCTCATCTGGCAGGGAAAGAAGAGAGGAAAACAGACCATTACTTACTTACAAATGAAGTGCTAAAGATAACTAATACAAAGATACACACTCCCAGGTGATCGAAGGAGCTAAAAATGGAAGAAACTAAGGGACACATCAAGAAATGAGGTTGGCATGGAATAGGAAATTAGTGTGTGTGGATGGACTGAGAAATTCTGAAAGTGGGCCAAATGACTCGGTCACCCCCGGGAGCCATCAGTCAAGCCGACACATGTATGCTGTGTAACACAAGCGGAAACTCATATATATATAT